TATGATCGTTCGTTTAACATGTTAATGAACGAACATAAACGAACACGAACACACCTGATATCTAAACGAACGAACACGAACACAAAGATTTTCGTTCGTTTACCGTTCGTGTTTGTTCGGTTACACAAAGGTGTTGAGACCTTGCTTCACTAACACTCCTCGACTCATTATACGTGAAGACAAAAAGTTTCCCACAAGCCTAAGCTCGCATTTCAATTTCATTGGGTCAGCGCGAACTCACGTGCGAGTTCCCCAGCCTCTCCTATTTTTCGTTCCTCTCAAGCTCATGTGCAAGCTTGCTGAACTCGCATTCGGTACACAGAAACAATGCTTTAATCCTAGTCTTTCTTACAACTTAAAACCACAAAAAACTCCTAAATCCTTCCTTTTATTTATTGTTTTCGACCTCTAAATCAATTCAAGATTAGTTCTAAACACTCCTAACTCGTTATATTATTGACCAAACATGCAAATAACGAGCTTTAGATTAGAATCGTACCTGAGGTTGGGTGATTGTTCTGTTAAACTTTACTACTCCTTGATTCTTCAACGGTGTTTCATGAACCACCAAAAACACACACAAAAAAGAGGGTTCCTCTATCTGTTCTACTCTGAATTTTATACATCAACCTCTCCAAATCTCATAAAAAGGAATTAAAATTTCTTTCCATACTTAACACATGAAATCATCCATTTCCATAATTTTGAAACCTACAAAATTTAAAATTTCACAACTCCAAAGTTTAATCCTTCTTTTCATTATTTGACAATTTTGCCCTTCCAACAAATTACTTTCAAGAAGTTGACATATGTAGTTCATCCATCACAATCAGCCCCTTATTTTGTCTTGTTACAACTTTCCCACATTATAGACTATATTAAATTTAAATATATAATTTTTATCAATATTATTTAACTGAAATTTTGTAATTAATTTGTTACTCAATATTTTATGAGATCCATAAGATCTAATCTCAACCACAAATCAAAACTTAAATTAGAAAATTAATGTTTTTTTTGTAATACTGACTTGAAATTTTAAATAATGATATTTTAGAAATCTTGTATCTTCTCTCTTCTATTCCCTCTATCCTCTGGTATGAACATTCAACTGATATTCATTGTATACAAGTTGTGATACATTAACTATGATCATTCTTTGTATACATTCTCTGATATTTATTAATGTCCATTGTGATACCTACTGTAAAGTGTATACACGATGTGATACATTGTAAACAACGAAAACATGGAATGTGATAAAAGATTCAAAAATAACACACTATAGAGAGTTATCGATTTCTTATTTATGAACTTAAGGATTTCCTACTTATGGAGAAAACAAATTAATTAAAGGGAAAATTGCACCAAAATGGAACCAATTTTCACCTAATTCCTATTTTGGGGAACCAACTTTCAAAATCGTCATTTTGGAGATCCAACTTGCACCTGATTCCTATTTTGGGGAACCAACTTTCAAAATCGTCATTTTAGAGAACTAACTTGCATCTGATTCCTATTTTGGGGAACCAACTTGCATTTGATTCCTATTTTGGGGAACCAACTTGCAAAATAATTATAAAAAATAACTAACATTCGTTTTTTTCCAAAAATTAATGCAATAAAATCTATTTTTCATTTCAAATCTCATTTTTTTTATAATTCAGATATCAAATTGAACATTAAAAAAAATCCAAATTACCACAAAAAATTATTTTTTACTAATGCAAAAAAATCAATTTAATAGAAAAACATCAATTGATGCAATAAAAAATAAATATTTAGGGTCTCTATCAAATTTTTTGTGCATGAATTAATTTTTTTTCTATTAAATTGATTTTTTTTTGCATTAGTAAAATACAATTTTTACTGTGGTAGTTTGGATTTTTTTAAAAATGTTCAATTTGATATCTGAATTATAAAAAAAACGAGATTTGAAATGAAAAATAGATTTTATTGCATTAATTTTTGGAAAAAAAACGAATTTTAGTTATTTTTCTATAATTATTTTGCAAGTTGGTTCCCCAAAATAGGAATCAGGTGCAAGTTGGTTCCCCCAAAATGACGATTTTGAAAGTTAGTTCCCCAAAATAGGAATCAGCTGCAAATTGGTTCCCTAAAATGACGATTTTGAAAGTTGGTTCCCCAAAATAAGAATTAGGTGAAAGTTGGTTCCATTTTGGTGCAAATTTCTCTTAATTAAACGCATTTATGAGTTGTCTTTTTACGACTAAATTACCTTATTTATTTATTTAATTAATAACAAAATTATCTTAAATGAGTGTTCACCTTGGATCTTATGATTATCACAGATTATTGGGTTCTCATTTAGTGTATAGAGGGCCAAGAATACAAAAAAGAAGTAAAACGAAACCGGTCATATGACCATTCCCAACGGCTATAAAAATGGTTACCATTTTTTTGAAAAAATCAATTCGGGCCCGGTTTGTTTTTGCATGAATAACCAATCTTTAACAGTCGGTCCCATGCTAGTCGCGGTCCCGAGCCGGGTCGGGCCCATTTGACCACCTTAGTTCAAATGTTAACCCAAATTACTGTGTTAGCTTTATAAACCTTTTGGACCAATCACAATCCATCTTAATATTAGGTTCTTCACTATCTAAAAATTTAATGTTAACGATATATGAGTAATTTTTTTTGTAACTCCTATATCATTAATTGGGAGCTACAAGATCCACAAAATCTCATGATTTTTGCATTTTTAACATTGATCTTGTATTTTTTTAATTTTTTAATATTGATCTTTCATTTTTAATATTTTTAAATTTGTGACTGGTGTAAGAGATCCGCTAGCAAAGTGTTTGTTATCGTTCAAACAATTATAGATAAAGACATTGGAGAACAACACGACAACAATTGAGAAAGTTAAAATTGTTTATGGTGACAGTCGGAGTTCGAGATCGGGAAGTGAAGTAAATAATCAAAGCGAATGTCTTCGTAATTATGAACACAAATTGACATATATGACACAAATTGACACGTATACACTCATATGAACACTTGTGGCAATTATGAACACAAATTGAACATATATGTGAACACTTGTGGCAATTATAACACAAATTGGACATATATGTGAACACTTGTGTCAATTATGAACACAAATTGAACATATATGAACACTTGCGGCAATTATGAACACTGAACACATACGATTTCTATTGTTTGTAACCGATGTCATTGAATGTGCATTATCTTTTATATAAATACCCTTCAACAATTATATTCATATGTTTGTGAGATTACACATTTAATAAATTAAATTTATAATATGATTAATCTTAACCCTTTATTTTAAAAATCAACGGTCATAATTAGTTAATAAAGTTAATACAATAGTCAAGGTAACAAATGAACCTTCCCCATGTTCCCAAGAATTGAGATTTCATATTCCCAAAAAGAATGAAGTTTCTATGTGAATCAATTAATTAATTCATATGTGAATTATAAGGGTTCATATGTGAATTAGTTAAAATATGATGAATTACACGGATTCATATATGAATATAAGAAAGTTATATATATATATATATATATATAAGTTTCGTCGATCTGCTTTATTTTTTTGTCTTCCCTCCGATCTTTTACTACAAGTTAATGGAGCATGTATAGATATGTCAAAAAAAAAAATGTTGAAAAAGCAAAAAACTAGTAAGATGCCAAGAGGAAGCGATGAAGTTGGGTCTGAAAGATTTGAATGACAGAGTTCGAAAACAATAAAATTGGTTTAAATTTTTTGTTTTAAAGATTAAAAACTTAATAATTAGAACAATTAAACTTTTTTTTATTCTATAAATATAATTTATTTTTACATTGCTTTATATCGATAATAAAGTTTTAGAGGCTGTTTGGAAGTGGCTTAATTGGCTGAGTGGGATAATGCTTATTCAGTAAGCCATATATAGTTGTTCAATTATGACTTAATAGCTGAATAATTCTCTGATTCGATAAGCTGGAAAAAGGAGAGTCGTTTACATTCAGCCCCCCATTTTCCTAATCTACCCTTTTTCTCTTCCAGGCATGGAGAGACAACAAAAAAGGGGGAAAAAAACGATCGACGCTTCTTCTCTTCCAATCTGCCCTTTTTTTCTTTCAACCCCCATTTTCCCAATCTGCCCTTCACTTTGCCGCTCCCCCAGTCCCCACACTTTGATTTCTTATTTTCTGCTATGAACTTGACGGTTCTGCAACCTTCCACATTCTTCTGAGATGTTTTTGGCGAGGATTAGTACACCGGAGGCGAGGTTAGTAGGTACTACAAAGAAGGTGAAAACAAAGGATTGTGGTGGATGGGACTCACTCGCCGTCGTGGTGGAGGAAGTTTAGGGGGCGTCAAGCGGCGGTCGTGAAATCGAACGAGCACACCCCATACCTGCAAATCGTAAATCGCCACCTAGATGAGTTATTGTTTCGATTTCCAGATGAGAGCAAGGTTTCTTCATTTTCCAGATAAGGTTCTAGCAATTAGTTTTAGGGCTTTCATTTGATTTTAGGGATTTGATTTTAGATCCACGATGCAGGTTTGCATCACCTGAACCAAACCCCTAAACACCGTAATGCTCGATTTGGCTTTTTGATGAAGGTTTCTTCAATCTCCAGTGAATGAACGAGCACCCTTAAACTTTATTAATTTTTTTGTTTTTAATCTATTTGTATGAAGAGTAAGAACAAATTCAGAAAACATGTTTTGGGGGGGGGGTTAATATAGTTTCTTCCTTTGAGTTTGTATGTTCTTGATGGTATTGAGATGGTACAAAAGGTAAAATAGTCATTTACATTATTTAAATTGTTTATCCAACATAACAACCAAACAATAACTTATCAAATATCATACAAACATATTTATTAATAAAGACATTTATATTCATACAAGAATTGACAAAAAATAAACCGACCCACAATATATTGGTATTTAAAATAAACTGAACACGTGCGCCTTCGCCTTTCACCGAGTTAAACCCTTCCCCATCTCTATTGCCGCCGTAGTAGTCCGCCGACGTTCAACCGCCGGTGCAGATTTTTCGTTGCAACCGACAATCCAGCACGCTTATATTCTCTTTCAAATCCTTAGCTTCTCATTGCATCCAGAGAAATATAAATTTCTTGTAAAAGTCCAAACCCTACATTTTTGCTTCTGGATTTTTTCTTTTGCTCGTCACTTCATCGACTGGGCTCCCATCGATAAAGATAGAAATATACCGGTAAGCATCCATTTATTAGTTTTCCTTTCTCTTTGTATCCGTGGGTTTTTGTTTATGCTAAATCGGGTTTAATATGAAAAGCAAGAGTGATATTTGTGTAAATCGCAGTCTATTTCATCTTCTCTAGAAATGCACTACTTGTTCTGGTTTTGGATTACAATAGATTCACTTCCAACTTCAAGAGTGGTGTAAGTTTTGAAATTGTAGTACAATTGCTGAGGGAATCCAATTTTACAATGAGTACTATATGATGCAAGATGCTTAGATAAATTGACATGATCGTTGAGTTGGGAAGTCTGACAGCAACCACCTTTCTCTGGAACAGGATACTACGTTATACATTTTGTCTCATTTGTTGGAGTTGTTTAAGATTGTTTTATGTTTGATGTATTTGAAGGTTTGATTTGAATAACCCGATCGTTGTGTGGGTGCCAATGTGATGGATGATTTGTAGCATGTTTTGGTTTCTTGGTTGGACTGCTGCTACCTTTTAGTTTGTGGGCGTTTCTTTTCAATTCATGGCATTTCAGTTCACCAAGTAGAATTTTCCTTTTTATCCAATGTGCTTTTTGAAATAGAAATGCTTGATTTTAGATGGATTACTGATCACAATACCTTGGTATTTAGGATTTTATGCTCTAGGATAAGTTCAGGTATCAAGAAAATTGTCCGAGTTTGATTGCTGGTCGAGTTCGAGTTTGAGCCGAGCCTATTCAAGTCGAGTGTTGACCGAGTCGATCTCGAGTAGCTCGCGAGTTATCTCGTATCGTTTACACCCCTACCTGTTACTACTTAATGGTCCCTTCTTTATCCCACCTTCTGCAAATAAGGTTTGCACCTTGCAACGCTTTTTCTTGGCCCTCAGAATAAAGCGATAATTTGGAGCCGGGTTGTTGCAACATTTTGGGCCAAGGGCATTCGACGGTAGTTATGGTGCCTTTACATCTGATCTTCCATGTCCTTGTAACCTTGCTGCAAAATTAGCTCTCATGTTGTTGTCATTCTAGATTTTTATCGTCACACCCGTAACCTGTTCGATGAAATGCCCAAATGAGAAGACACAATTATTCTGTTCTTATTTAATGACTCTGTTTGAATGATTTCATTCTTCTCATCTCACTTAGGTTATGGATGTGGGACACTGCTACTTAGATGGAAATGCCGACGTTGTTGAGTTTTGTCCGCACAATTCTTTTCACCATGTCCTAGCTGCTTCGACTTATACGCTGCAAGAGGGTGATTGTCCGAGTAGGTCAGGGAGCATTTCTCTTTTTAATGTTGACTTGGGGCGAGTCGAGTTGTTTTATAGGTTGAAGACAGCTGGGATCTTTGATATGAAATGGAGCCCAGTGGGAGGCGATGCAACAAGTCCATTGCTTGCTCAAGCTGATGCTGAAGGTTGCTTGAGGGTTCATCATTTAGAAAGCTCTGATGATGGTACGTTATGTTGATAACATGAAATGCTTATATGTATATGTATGTCATGATTTATGAGCATGAGAGAATTGCCATTTCTTTACTGAGGTCTGTTTACCAATAGGTGACCCCCCGCTTACCACGTAAGAAACGCTGACCCGGTAAGAGACGCTTGCCCTGTGACTAAGGGGTGAGGTTGCTTACCATACTAATGATGTATCGAAGGAAAAGCTCTCTTACTCGCTTACAACTTAGCTGGACTGAACCTCTTAAAGCACCACTCTTACCCAATTTCTGCTGGTAAACTCCCCTTTACACTAACTTCCATTAGAAAATCTCTCCCTTCAGCTCTGACTCTTCCCATACTAAGGGGCCGTTTACTTAACTCTTACCCGGTAAGTGCTTACCAGGTCAGTTCCCTTATCGGATGAACATGACAAAGATTGAGAATCTTATGCGGTAAGAGTGGTGACAAGGACCGAGAGTCTTACCCGGTAAGTGAGAGTGACGACTTTTACCCTGTAAGCACTTGCTGGATAAAAATGTTGCATACAATGCCGTTTTAATTGACAAAAAATTTACCTGGTAAGTTATGAAAGTGTTGACTCTTACCGGGTAAGCATTGACTAAACGGCCCCTAAGACTTCGGTTGATCTACCTTTGACTTAGAAGCTGTTTACCAACAGTAACGAATTAGTGCTTACCAGGTAAGAGTAACCATTCTCGCTTCCCTTACCGGGTAAGATTATCAGCCTTCAAATGATATGCTAAGGTTGTTGATAAGTGTCTCTTACCTGGTAGGCGCTAACCGGGTAAGAGTCACCACCCTCACTTGCTCAGTAAGATTCTCTGTCATTGCCATGGCTCATACCGGGTCAAATTCTCGGTCCTTGCCATGCTACCCAGCAAGGTAACTGACCCAGTAAAGGCTTACCTGGTTATCGTTCTGTAAACTGCCCCTTACTTCCTGTTTCTACCTTTGACCTATGGTAGATGAAGGGCGGATTTTTACTAAGCTTTGATAAAAATAAAGACGTAAACTTCAGTGTCATATTTACGGAGCAAATGGTTCCTTGTTTTTAATAATCTGAATAATTGATTCTAAATTAGTTTTCTTGCTAAGAAACAAAATATTGAGTATAAATTTTGATCTTAAGGTCCTTAAGGATCTTGATAGGCACTTCGTATGTGAAAGGGTTGTATTTTCAGTCTTGGTAAATGTGAAGAAAATGGAAGGCCTTTCTTGGCCTTTCACATCTTTTTTGTGTTGGTGCCATGGGTCATCAATAGTTTGGTTATTGAATTGGAATTTTGCGTTGTTGAGCTTGTTAATCTTAATTCAGTATGATCATTGTCAGGGTCGGTGAAGTGGAAGAATTCTTTGATAATGACTACTAATTTTGATAAGATACTTTTGCTCTGATGATCATTAGCTGTATTTGTATTTTGGGCTTCGACTGTGAAGATAAGAGGAGGGCGGGGAAGGGGGGGGGGGGTTACCTCCAAGACATTGTTTTCGAGTGGCAAAGTTGAAAAACAAGTTCACAGTATAGTTCTTTTCTTAAACAAGCTTCTACTGTTGTCACATGGATGTTCCATTTATTTGGATCACTAGCGAAGCGAAGTTAAGGTAGTAACTCAATTGAGGAGACCCGATAATTCAGTAGCCAGTAAAGTTCAATCACCAGAAAGCGTGGTAGGCCAACTTTGTTATATGTTCTTGTATAGTTCTTCTTAATGATAAACCGAATGGAAGAATACGTGAAACTAGGATGTTTTTAGTAATGACATTCTTTTCATTGAGTCGGAATTTGAAAGGGCAAGCCATATTTTTTGAGCTAAATTGATGCCATGATACATTTGATCAAAAATTGTACTTTGTTCATTGCTGTTTTTCTGTTCAAGTACACAAGTCGCACTAATGGATCTTGAACTTGATGCAGGAGAAGCTCTGAAAGAGGTAAATAATGAAAAAGTCAGCTCCTCCATGAGCCTGTGTTTAGACTGGAACCCTTCGGCGACATCCATCTCAGTAGGCCTTTCAGATGGTTCAGTCTCTATAATCTCTCTTCAGGAGGCCAAAACAAGCATACTACAAGAATGGAAAGCACATGACTTTGAGGTTTGGGCTACTTCTTTCGATCCAGACCAACCGCATCTGGTCTACACTGGTTCAGATGATTGCAAATTTAAGGGCTGGGATTTACGAAATGGTCCATCTAAATTGGCATTCCAGAATTCAAAAGACCATCAGATGGGTGTTTGTTGTATTGCAAAATCTCCCCATAATTCTCACACTCTATTTACCGGAAGCTATGATGAACATTTAAGGATATGGGATGTCAGATCAATTGCAAGGCCTGTAAATGAAACATCAATCAGTTTAGGTGGTGGGGTTTGGAGGCTCAAGAACCATTCTGTTGTGCCAGGCTTGATCCTGGCAGCTTGTATGCACAATGGATTTGCCATTGTTAAGGTCGATGGAAATGAAGTCAAAGTGGTTGAAACATACAATAAGCACACATCCCTTGCTTATGGAGCAGATTGGTATAGAGGGAGTATATGCCAAGAAGACAAAAAGGAGAAAACTATCGTTGCTACCTGCTCGTTCTATGATCAGCTCCTTCGAGTTTGGGTGCCAGAAAGTTATATAATTTAGTACAAGTTTCATATTCTGTGAGGTAATCTTATCTGATATCTGTAGCGCTATATTTACATACTGAATTCATCATGTTAAGATCCATAATTTTCTCAATTTAGAATATTTGAGCATACACGTCTTTTTTAAGATGCTAGCAGTTTGCATTAATTGAACTCTATCAAAGATTCATTCGTCTTATAATTCTGCAAGATTTTCGTATATTATGATGATTGATTCTCACTTGATTTTTATGAAACTGGTGTCGTGTTTTGACTTGAACCGAAAAGGACAGATAGGGTGGAGAAATTTTGGGTCTTTTCATATTTGGAGTTAGATGAGGCTAAAGTGGTTTTGATTTTTTTGTGGTTATAACCTAAATGTTTTGGGATATATATATATATAGGGGACTGCACTGAGAACACTACAAGGCCATAGATGTTTGGAAGCATTCAAAAATTCATCTTCTAGTTAGCTGTCCTTTTATGCTTCCCATCATTCCTCAGCAGGACTCGCCAATTATTTGGAAGAATTCAGAAATTCCCTCCACTTGTCTCTTTTAAGCTTAAAGCTGCTATCCTTTATGAGAAGTGCAGGATAGGCTTGAAGCAACCGGGTAAAGTTACTTCTATAGTAATATCACCAGGGTGTCACATGATCTAATCGTAGAAAAAACCTCTTTACATAATGCAGGTAAAAAATTGCATACAACGACTTCATATAGAATATGTGAAACCCGTTAGATTTACTCTCCAAAAAGAGTTCTTGAGAAGAGAAAGAGGTTCCAAAATATGTTGAAGAGAAAGTATCCAAGTCTAACCAATGTGGAACTTTAGCAAGTCTCTGTTTGACGGGAAAAAATATCACAGACTGTTGAGTCATGCTAAAAAATGTCCTGGATGGTAGTTGGTAGACATAGACTTGACTCTGATATAATATTGAAATATGTTGATCCCCGTTAGATTACTCTATAAAAGAGTTGTTGATGAGAGAAGGGGGAGGGAGTTTCCAACGTATATTAATTGCTTACTATTTGCTACCCTTTGTTCTTTCTTACCTCTTCACTCATACTATTTCACAACCAGAGGTCTTCACGAAAATAGTCATTCAACCCTTTATGATAGATTATAGAGGATAAGTTTGCGTACATCTCATCCAAATCCTATGAATCAGATGTATCGGGTCTGTTTAGGTTAATTTGGTTTACAAAACCACGTTGGTGGACCAGGGCCACCTAGAGAAGGACCTAGAAATCTTTTGAGTTGATGACATCGTTTGACTTTAAGAAGCAAATATAAGAATATTTTTCATAAAATCATCATTAGTTTGTTGGTTAGTTCATTGTTTTTCATATGTGAGGTTTTTTGTTCTAGTCTTTTTATTACAACTTTTTCCAGAAACATAATAAATATGAAATTAAAAGCTAAAAACTAAGAAAATGACACCAATGAGATTCAAACTCGGGTTTGGGGTGGAAGAAAAACCTTGCAAATCAACTCTACTAAGGGCAACGTTTGTCCTCATGATAGTTTCAAAACATATATGGTGGCACACAACAAATTAAAACAATAACAATTTTCACGACCCTATAATGTCTTACACTACGGCGGCGAATGAACGAAACGGTAGCCCATGCTACCACATACACTACCTAGGTCCGTCGCTGAGGTCACCCTACAACGACAGTCCCTAGTGACTTGAAGAGCATAAATGTAAAAGAATAAGGTAATCTACTGGGCACAATTAAAGAAAGAAAAGTTACTACTCATGAGTAAATGGTGTAGGGCCCCCCTGCAATATGTTTTCTTGTGTATGCTGGCAGTTTGCTATGGTTGTTGAGTATGATGGATGGATGTTTCTATTTTGGCCTCATAAATGTTATCACTTCTCTTGTTGTGTTGCACCCCACACTCAGATTCCATCAACGATGGCTGCCAACCAGAAACAGATGGAAAACACTCCAAACAAGCTTATGATGATGATGGACCATCTAAGAGCCCGTTTATCAAATGTTTATTCGGGTAAGTGAGGGCAACAACTCTTACCATGATAAGAGCTTATCGTGTAAATTGTTGCATATGGTACCGTTTCGGTGGACTAGAATCTTACCCAGTTGTAAGTAAATGATAGTGCTGAATTTTACCGATAAACACTTACCGGGTAAGTTTTTGGTAAACGGCCCCTAAGTAAAATACAATATTCGAATTTTGTATGTGATGAATTCCGATGTATACAGTGTTTATATTTTTAATACCCATTTCTTTATACTTACAAATTTATTGTTTTGATGATCTTTCAATCATTGAAATTTGAAAAAAAAGTGTGAATTTATGGGGAAAAATGTGATGGTGTGTCCTCTGTCATTGCTAGTATTTGCTGTCTATGCATGTTGTATGTTTTTAAATTTGGTCTTCTCAACCAACATGTGTGGCAATAGTTGAGTTGGTTTATTTATAAGATTTTGTGTGTTTGTACAATTACGTCCTAAGATCCAAGTTGAATAATATTTTATATAATTTAATTTTTTAATATTAAACCTGATTGGTTTGAGCTTGGCTCCAAAGATCAAAAGTATCAGGTTCAAATCCAAGAAGGAATAAAAATCCCTTTGTGGCCATGAAGGTTCAAATACGGTGACTCCAGGTTATCTACAAAGCAGGTGGTCGTTCTAGAATTAGTCGGCTCATATAACGGGTTGGATATCCCGGTTAATAAAAAAAAGAAAAATAATATTAAATTGTTTGATGCTTCTTTTTTTATATAAAATTAAATATATTTTGGTCTGATATTCATAATTATGAGATCAATCATTGATTAGATTTTAACGTTAAAAAGATAGACTTTTGATTGACTCTTTGTTATTTTCTCATAAACTCACACATGAAAGTTTAATTTTGACCGTAAAATTAGTTTCTTTTTATTCTGATATAAAAAGAAAAGCATTTTAATTTAAGAATTTACATAAATGATAAATCTATAACGTTAAAATATTATGAATTTTGAGTATTTATGACTTTAATGTCTCACTCAAATATTTGCGTTAAAATATAGGTTTTAAAGATTTTTTTTATCAAACAGAATTCTAAAATAGAGAAAAGATGAGAATATGGGAATCTTCAAATTTGAAGAAATCTCAAAGGTGGTGTTTGGTTCGTTGGAATCCGACGGAGTTTGAAAGAATTGGAATGATCAATTCATTCCTACGTTTGGTTCTTTTTTTGAGTTCTAGAAGGAATTCAAATTCTACATATGGTGGAATGTAAAATCCTTAGTGTTCTACAGTTCTAGTAAGGAATTTCAATTCCTTTGTACTATCTTTAACGAAAAAACTATCATATGCTTATATTTACTACATTCCGTTCCATCCCACCACGATGGATGTCATCACCATCATCGCTGCCACAGTCACCACCATATTGCTGTTGCCGCCGCCCCCAACACTGCCATCATCGTCGTTATCATTGTGGCCTTCACCACCACCACATTCATCACCACCCCATCCACCATCAGTACAGCCACCATGACCACCGTCACCACCACAACCGTCATCGGTACTACCTCCAACATCGCCATCACCATCCCCCCGCTACTACCACCACCACACACCTCCACACAACCACCACTATTATATTTAACAAACCAAATAGACAAATTTAAATTCTTTTGACAGATCTCATTTTTATTTTTGCCAACCAAACGCATGGTCAAACATGATTAAATTCCATTCCAATTACGACAGATTCCATTATGTGAATACACCACCGCCTAAAACTCATAGAGAATCAATATTTTAAATATTTCCCACCAGATGTATTGAAATTAAATACTTAAGAAGAGAAATAATATCTTCATTAAATATATTGAATAATATAGTTAATGTTAAAATTGTTAAAATAAAATAACCGTTAAAATTAGATATAATTATCTTTTAGTAATTTTGACATTTAACACTTTATTTTAAAATAATTATACAAAGCCGGAGATGCTACAAGCAAGAAAATGTATTTCTTACAAGAACCAATATTATGAAGAGTTCTCGTAAGAACTCTCCTCCTCTAAATTCTTGTACAAGAATCTTGATTTTTACCTTAGAGTGAGTATGAATCGATGCTTTACAATTTTTTTTTTTTATTAACATGGATATCCAACCCGTTATGCGAGCCGACTAATCCCAGGACGACCACCTGCTTTGCAGATAGCCCGAAGTCACTGCATTTGAACTTCCGTGACCACAAAGGGATTTTTATTCCTCCTTCTAAATATTTTAAATTAAATATTTATTTATAAATATATTATATTTATTGATGTTAGAAAAAATAGATAGTATCCATAAAAAGATTGTTATAAAAACCACTGTCCTAGACTTTTCATTGAGTTCTTAAATAACCTCTATTGCAGATGTTATAAGTCCTTCCCTTGACCTCTGTTTTCTCTCTCTCTCTCTCTCTCTCTCTCTCTTATCTACAGAGGTCAAGGTATGGAGTGTCAGTTTCACGTGCCATCTCCTCCACGAAACCTTCAATCTCCCACTTAATCCCTTTTTCTTTATTATTTCCTCTCTAATCTCTCTCTCTACCCACAGACACTGCAGCCATGCATCTTCTTCTTTTCAAGCACTCATCATGAGTTTATCATACCAACCTGCAATGGCTGCTCTACTCAAATTTCACCCTCCTATCCAAACAACCAGATATTCATGGGTTCTTTTCCTATTAATTGTTGGATTTTTGTGTAAGGAAGGTGACTGTGACACTTCTGTGAAGTTATTCAAGACACCTGAACCAATCTCCAACGTTCACTCCCCTACATTTGCTTTCCAGGCTGCTTCTTGCACCAACTGTACCTCTAGGTGCAAGGTTTCTACTTTAACTATGCTCCTCTGTTCTGTTTTTTCAACTCAAAATGGGAAAAGATTGAAACTTGATGGCTTTTGCAACTCCATGTTAATTGTTGTTAGATATCATAAACATTTCTTTGATTCATCTGCTTTCAAATGCTTCAAGATTCATACTTTTTGTTACTGCAACTCACATGCAATTATCTTGAACTCAGAAGTTTAGGAACCCATTCAGGAAACTTGAAATCTTACTTAAAACTTGTATTTGAATGCAGCTGGATGATCTCCTGCCTTCTGATTGTTCATCTGGGGAAGTCTCTTACACTAAATTGCAAGACGGAAGCCATAGATTTGAAGTGTGCACCAACGGGTCTCGTAACTTCCACTGTGCTGCCTATAACTGGACCATTGGTTACTATCTAACTCTCCTTCATCTTTTTAGTTCTTAATCAAAACACTTAGCTGTTAAAATGAGTATTTCTGTCTCAAAGTGCATCTCTTTCTTGACTGTTTCCATTCTAATTCTAGTTTTATTGATTGGCCTTTGCAGACACTGTTTCCCCCACAGCTACCCTTACAGCATCAACATCTTTTACAAATGCTTTGAATGTTTCTGTCTATATATCTTTCAGTGAACCCTGTGGCGGTGGTGGTGGTGGTGGTGGTTTTAGATGTTTGTCTGCGAATGACTGCAGCGTAAGTAGGTGCTTTTCCAAAGCAAACTAAGCGATACCCTTATCAGCCATTTTATTAGATATGTGATTTGTGTATCTATACTCTATAGGGTACAAAAATATTGATCTAACAAACCAAGTTGTTCTTCACTTGCAGCTTCTAGTTTATGGTGCTGGCCAAGTAATTCCAACCACGCTAACGACTATCAAGCCAAATCTTGAATATTCTATTTCGGTGAATCTGTCTTCAGCCGTTGAGTATGGAAGGGTGGTGTTAGTAACAGATAAAGGGTTCTGTAGAGATGCTGCTGGAAACCAATTTACAAGAACAGCTAGTTCCAGTTTCCTTGTTCATTTTGGTGAGACTTCAAACGGAGTAATTTTAAAATCCAAAATTGATATATATTTTAAATTTCTTGAAGAATCTGATAATGTACGTGAAATATATAATAAATACTAGGAATCGCATACATTTGATTTCGAATATGTAGCAAAATCTAGATCAATTTTGAACGTCTAAAGCAAGTATTTTGACATCAAAAGTCAAAGTGTACTTCAAGATTGAGGTATATGCTAGTAACTTGTTGACTGAATTTTACAGACAGAAGAAATGTGTATGTTGATCTGAGGACTCATATACCCGAACAACTACTTCAACTCGATAACACTGTTAGATCGGTTCAAGCAACTAACAAATACAAGAACTTGAAGTTGTATTTATATTTCACTGAACCTATCGTCAACACTTCAGCTGAAGTCCTGAAATCTCTCCAAGTTAGTCAAGGATCTCTTATTTCAGCCACCAGCAACAATGATAGCCTTGGAAACCGACGATTCGGCTTTCAGCTTGTAGATTTATCTGAAATTGCCATTGTCACCGTGAGACTAGATTCTGGATCGGTACTAACCAGACAAGAGACCTCGGTTTCCCCCATCTCCCCAGTTACCTTTCTTTTTGGTACATTTCTAGCTTATTTCTAGAATATCTTATTTTGAGATCTCTTCGTTCTGTACTAACTATCCTCCATGTTGGAAATCTTTTCAGATTCTCAACGGCCTTATGTGAGATTAAGCACTTGGAGCCATATGAGGACACAGCAGGATCATATTCCAGTGACTATAAAGTTCACGAAACCTGTTTTCGGCTTTAATTCATCTCAGTTGTCTATTTCTGGAGGAATGATGAAAGGGTATCAGCATGTAACCATAAAAAAGAAGAAAAAAACAGTCCGCTGTCCAGAAATGCATCCTAATCATTCCACGTGATTTCGTGCAGATTTCGTGAAATAAGTAAGAGTATCTACTCACTGGAGATTCAACCAACTGAAGATACGGTATTTGTCCATGTTCCTGAAAATGTAACTACAGATGTAGCGGGAAACAAAAATCTAGCATCAAATACGTTAAAGTTATTGCACTGTATGAACTCATTTCTTGATGTCATAATCCTTGATTTTTGATGTTCTTCTAAATCATGATTGTTTATGTTCTTCTGAATCTTGATTCTTGATGTTCTTGTAAATCTTGATTCTATACGACTTTTACAGATTCTGTACCTGCTGCATCGTTGGTGCTTTCTTGCTCTGCGACCGCTGCTTTCGTGTTGACTGCTCTAGTTGCAACCCTGCTCACTATTTCCACTGCTTCCCTCCAGAATTACGGAGCATTTGCAACATCATCTCTCTTGCTAACTTCGAATCCAGCAAGGATTATTTTTGTAAGCTGCTTTCCTGACCACCATGTGTTTTGACTTTTGATCTAGGTAATTAGTCAGTTGATCCCTTTTTTCGCTTCATGAAAACAGCGAATTGTATGCCACATTCAAATCTTCGCGTTATCTGGGTGGCTAGCCGTTCCTTTGCCTATTGAGTATAGTGAATTCCTGAAGGGTCTAAGATGGAGTATCCCGTACTTCAGACTCCCATGGGAAAATGGTTATGTTAAGCCCATTTGGCCTATGAATCCACACGCATACGGTTCTAAAACCGCTGATCTAGGAATTCATAAGACAGAACTTAAAGCCACAACTCTAGACAAACCTGACTCAGTATACGGATTGCCACTAACCGCAATGGAGTATAAGTCGTTTTTTGAGGTCAGCAGACTAGATTTTTCCTGAATATGTGGTTAGATTTCTTTTCTTCTAGTTTTCTGATGGCAGTTTGTTTAAACAGAGCCAAAATGTGATGCCTGAGGCTGAATATATCGCAGATCCAAGTGATTCTGACGGGTAAGTTCTTATGCGCGATATCTAATTTGACTGTTTGCAAGTATTTCTTCAATTACTTGAATTGAAATTGGTCACTGTGCTTAGGTGGAGAGATTTTAATCGGAGCATGTTTTGGCTGGCGGTCATCAGCGGAGGCTTAATTATTCTACACATCTTGTTCCTTCTTATACTGAAACTTCGAAAGAAAAAAGAGAAGGAAAACACTTACACGTCGGTCATCTTTCCAAGATTTGAGATCTTTCTGGTAATTCTTGCAGTACCTTGTGTTTCTGCAGCCTCAGCAGCGCTACTCAAAGGTAAATATGCAGCTAAATTCATGCTTGGTGTACTTTGACCTTTTAGGTCAAACCTATTACTTTCTAAATCCAAAATTTACATGGATTTTGTTACTAGATTAAAGTGGGAACTTTTCTATTTGTTTGTCTGCTAAACTATTTATAGAAAACTTCCAGAATTTCTTGAAATTATCAGATTCCATACTGCTTTTTGAATCCAAAGTTCATTTATGTTGACTTCAAAAGTCAAACTTCTGTTCTGGATTTTGCAGGTGGATCAGCTTCAGGGATTGCAGTGGGAATTCTACTATTAGGAATCATAATTTTCCTGATACTAGCCTTGTTTCTGTTCCTATCTATCGGAATCTCATCCGGGAAGCTACTTCAATACAAAGAAGTTCACCATGAAGATCAGAAAATGCATTGGTATCAAGCACTGGTGAAGGTAACTTTGGGTCCAGGAAAACGAGGCCAATGGACATGGATCAACACCTCCAATTCCAAATGGCTAACCATTTTAGGACCCCTTTTCGAAGATCTAAGAGGACCACCCAAATACATGCTCTCGCAGATCGCTGGAGGATTGGATTATAACATGGCAAGAGGCAGCAGTATCATCGCATCAGATGATGAAAACGAAGATGCAGAAGCACCCTTTGTCCAAAAGGTATTTGGGATCCTTAGAATCTACTACATTTTTCTAGAATCGATCAAACGGGTTACTCTAGGAATCTTGGTGGGTACTTTTTCAAGATCGGGATATACCGAAACACCCACAAAGACTTTACTATGCGTTACATCTTTTCAATTGTTCTTCATGGTTCTTAAGAAGCCATTTATCAAGAAAAAGGTTCAATTGGTGGAGATAATCTCGGTTTCGAGTCAACTTGCGATCTTTGCGATCTGTCTGGTTCTCTTGAGAAAGAATCTAGACACTCGAGATCAGACCAAGGTCGGAATCGCCATGCTCTGCTTGTTCTTATTCCCGTTCACAGTACAAATCCTGAGCGAATGGAACGCTTTGATCTGTCAGATAAAACAACTTGATCCCGATAACAGATCTTTTTGTTTGGGTTTGAAAATCGCATCATGGGGGATCCTTCTGCTCTTCGTCCCGATTAGGTTGATGAAGAACATCAAAAGCCGATTCCCATTGAAGGGGCAGAGGCGTGAGGATACTACGGCGTCGTCGGTGTCGGTTGGAAGATTTACAAGCTCCGATACACCGGAACGGCCATGGATCAAACAACTGAGGGATTTGGCGAAGGCCAGTTTTAGCAGAGAAGAGAGTGGGAGTGGGAGCGGCAGTGGCGGTGTAACTCGGGGCGATCCTTCGAGTAGTGGGGCGAAATGGAGCGGGTTTTGGAACGGGAAGAGGAGTGGGAGTTCATCGCAGGCTGTATCCATGGATTCGAAGTCGCAATCGAAACCCAAAGGGATGTATAAAGATTTTGAAGCCATTTTTGGGACGAAGTGAGTGGATTTCATGCATATCATTTCACAAAGTTTGATCAATGTGAATTAGCTTGTAAATATATTTGTTGAGTTGTAGAGAATAAGTCAACTTTAACAAAACATTCAGATAAATAATCTTTTTATCATTTAAAATATTTAAGTTTTCTGGTGTTTGAGATCGCTTGTAAAAACAACTTATTAACTTATTCTGGTGTGACACCGGTAATAAACACTTTTGAGTGTTTGGATAAACAACTTATACCGGTGCCAAATCAATAATAAAGAGTTTGTGAAGAAATTAAACTCTTCTGACTTATAATAAGTTGATAAATGCTTTTGTAGAAAAACATAAGTTGTTTCAAATAAGTAATCCCAAACACCCCCTTAACTAATCCACTAATTAATGTTCATCTAATATTTTGTTTTTAATTATGTTAAAAGATATTTTAAAATTTATCTTTAAAACTTTAATTGTTTTTCTTTTATATTTTTAAAACATGAATTTAGTTTTCATAATAAAAATAAATCAAAATTGGTTTTAATTAATTTATTGAAAATGATATTGAAATTAGAAATCAAGCCAAACAATTTCTATGAAATCTCAAGGTACAAATCATCAATATAAGTAAACTAATGTCGGAATGAAAAACTTAGCTATACATGGCTAACTTAGGGTTATCACTACAGATAGGAAATATATTACCAAAAGTTATTTAGAAACGATGAAGAAATATACTCCAAATTGGTCATTGATCCCCTTCAATCTGTTTAGAAGTCGATTCTACATCTGTAGTTGTCATTGAACTTTTTAAATGAGCCTAAGGAAGAAACCGCTTCAGAAATTGAGAAACGCAACTTTGATCCCTAAAATAACATAGATGACAATCCGAGGTATGACCTTGGTCACGATTTAGGTCGCCCATCCATCCGAAGCATCCTCTAGTGCCTTAGGCGAATATTTCAGATGACTTTAGCAACATTTAGAGCCACAATAGGGTTGGCTTGCATCGGGAGAGTGTGTCCGATGCTTTTTCCAACGACACTTGCATTTTAGATAAAAGGAGTAAATTACAATTTTGGTCCCTATGGTTTACACCCAACCAAGAAAGTGGTCCCCAGACTTCAATAATTACAGTTATTGTTAGTTTTTTTTCTGTTAACTTGGGGGTATTTAAGAAAGTAATAAATATAATAACCAAAGGGACTAAAATTTAGTTTACACAATATATATATATATATATATACACACACACACACACATAGAGGTCTATTCAAGGGAGAACCGACTAGTTCGTGGTAACCGTGAAACCCAATTCAACTACACAAACTAATAATCAATGGCTAAAAATAAAACAAAAAGTATTTATTAAAATTCCAAAAGAACTGACCAATAAATAATAATAGTAGATGAATAAGGGCAAAAGGGTCATTACATCTACTAAATTAATGAGGTCTATTTTGGACGCGCTCGAGAAATCCGTTAATCCTCTCAAAAGATTTTGCATCAAATAAAAAAAACAAAGATTTTGGCAAATAACTCGATTCGAGCACAATCGTATAAACCCTAGAAGTCGACTGGAGCAACTTGGTTGGAATCTCCAGAAGCGTAACAATGGATACGAACGAAGGAGAAGGTATTCAATTTTCTTCTTCTTGATTTCACTATGAACCACACTGTGCTTATGCTTTCTATCATGTAATACAAATAAGGTAGAAGGAGTTACAGGTTTAAAGTGAAAAAAAAAACATTCACTTTCTCCAACGAAGCAATCGATGTTGACAATGGGGATGAAGATGACCTTGATCGAAGACGTATCAAAACAACATGTATCACAATATTATTTCCCTCTCAAGATATGAAATTATTTTGAACAATGTTAATTGTTTTTGGTTGTATTGTTGTATTCTCGAGAGTGTTGGAACACAATATTGTATATGTTTTGTCTAGAATTTATAGGTTTTGCTTCAAGATTTTGTGTTACGCTGTGGTAAAAAAATTGTGGTTCCATGTGGTACCCAAAACAAGGTTTACCAAAATTCAAACATTGGGGCCTCCATCATTTACTTGATCAAAGACCTATTGAAATAATAGGTATCCCGTTATTATTTCACTCTAGAAAATGAAGGTATTTTCAAACATATTAATTGTTTTTTATTGTATGGTTGTCTTATCCAATTTGTTTTGATTTATGGGATAACATTGCAAAAATGATCAGCTTTGAACACTTTCACATGAATATAATAGAAAGATCATTGATATGCTAATTAATATGTGGAAAGCAATTACAATTTACTGTATTTGCATAAGTAGATTACAGAAAAGTGTTGTAGGGGTACCAAACAACCATTCTTGAATTTGATCTTGTGACATACTGATAGTCCTCTTTTATGATCAATTTTCAAGTAATCTTCAAAAATCCATGGCAGATTAGTAGAAACTTTAAGAACACTACGAGAGATGAGAGAAAAAGTCACCAAGTCAAGATCTATTTCTTTTTATAATGTTTTACAATTGAGCTTATATTAAAATTACACTAAAGACAATCTATTTATATAGGGTCAAACTTGAACCCTTTAGTCAAAGTCAAACAACATAAGAAAAGTCAAACACGATACCTTTATAAGTATAGATAGTAACCTTTCAAAACGAATACAATTTACACTGAAATTCAGTCCTAACACATACATAGATAATAAATATTGATGAATGAGGAATGATTTTAAAAATGATTCATGCAGGGTAAATGAAGTTCTAATGTTACTTATCTCCAAAAATACCAATTACTTGTTAATTAGTGAACCAACATTCCATTACCTCGCTTGGACAACTGGTCATCAAAGTTTACATCACATATTGGGTCTTGGGACAACAATGTGCTTTTTTGATGTAGGGAATGGTTATGGTACAACACTGTGATTTTTGATGTATTAATAGCTATAATGTTGACTATGACTATTCATGATTGTTGCCTCCTAGTGTTGTTGCTTTGTGGTACTCGAACTAATGTAATGTATCTCAAACGGAAGTAGTGATGTACTTGACAATTATATTCCTTATTATTGGGAAAAGATGGTACTAAGTGAACATAGAACTTTAGGTTCACAGTATGTTACTTTAGGGAAAGTCTAATAAGAACATTGTGGTTCAGTGTGGTGCAAATAAGGGTATCATGCTACCTGTTTGTATACTTTTTATTACATTGGAAACAAATAATAGGTTACAAAGGGGGATGCCTAGTTTTTGGTTGATTGTGGTAACCAAAACTAACATTGGGGAGTAAGAGCGTATTTGAACTTCGGGTTGTTCTTATTAGTTTTACATTTATTGAATATGATAATATATGGTACATTGGGATGTCCATATTGGTTCGTGCGCCGGGGGCAATGTGCTACCTCACATTCTTGTTTTGAATAATCAAATTCATCTAATGACTTACCTCATTAAAGCGAGATAGTTGTCAAAGTGAAGCAGAGATGGATCAGGTAAAATGACATGACTAATGAACTCATGGATTATAATATTTTTTTTAATTTGTTTGTATAATTCACAATTTCATATAATTGGCTTTCACACACAAACATTAGAGATTGTGCACCCATGACATTTAACTTCGTGCAAATATATATATATATATATATATATAATATATATATATATAATATATATATATATAAATATATATATATATATATATATAAATATATATATATATATATATACACATTGACACACGCAAAATCACGAAAATGATAGTTCATCTTACATACCTTTATTGGTGTTAAGTTAATTATATAATTGTTACAATTATTCAATGATAAAATCCAAATCTAGTTAACTAAGTAGCACAATTTTCAACTTTTTCAGATAAAGCGAAAAGGGGACGGAAACAAGGGAATAATGTAGAAAAATCACGCGAAAAGAACACATGGGGGAAAAAGCAAAAGCTCTTAATAATAACTAGTTGTGTACCCACGCAATGCGGCGGGAGTCATGAATTTTAACGATTTTGAAGTTCCACTGGTTTTATAAGATAAGATTTAACGATGATATATGTTACATTTGGTTTTTACATATTAATACAATTTGAATAAAGGGTAAATTGCATGAAAAAGTAACGTACTTTAACTTGATTCCTATTTTGGGTAATGTACTTTCAAAACTTCCATTTTGGTACCTAAGATGTAAAGTTTTAAACATTTAAGTACCTAGGTAACCCAGTGAAGACTAATTTTACACTAAAAAAAGACTAATTTTAGATTAAAAAAAATCCACGTCACTGACTAGGTCAACAAATAATACCGAGTTGGATACCACATCACTCGCCACATCAGTATGATAACCGGTTAATACTTCAATCAGTTACCCGGGTACTTAAATGTTTAAAACTTTACATCTTAGGTACCAAAATGGAAGTTTTGAAAGTACATTACCCAAAATAGGAATTAAGTTAAAGTACGTTGCTTTTTCATGCAATTTGCCCTTGAATAAATAAGAGTTATGGTTCCAATTACAGACTATCGATGAAAAAAATTATATGACAGTTTAAAATCCAATATATTTAAAATCCAATATATTTAAACGACTCCACAAATGTGTTCGATTTACACCAAGAGCAAAGAACCAAGAAACTTGAGTTTTAAGATAACACTCAAAACCAATATAGAAAACTACAAATTTGACAGATCATAAGCCATGAAAAGACCAAAAAAGATGGGTTTTAGAATGAAATTTCAACTGCTTACCCTCTTTCTTGTCCAGAAACTCAAATTAAAGTTGAATTAATACATGTATATATATATATATTTCAAAAAAACCCAAGAACATACTATACAGTGCAATTTGGACAGCCTAACCCCAACATATATAGTATATATATATATATATAAATAAATAACTATAAAAGTATAAATTGTAAATATTAGAAATATTTTTTTAACAGTATATATAATATATAATAATATAATTAAGTAAAAAACTATTCAATATTGGACTCATTTCGAAGATATTAACGAGACGATTATAATGGTGTAACTTGTTAAAATAAAAAATGTATTTTTTAAACATGTTTTAATTGATATACGATTATGTATGTTAATTTGATAAAGGTTTAAAATAAAACATTTAAAAGTAAAGGACGTAAAGTAAATTAATTAA